TTCAAAATTTTCTCAGCTTCTACCTTAAGATCTGTTGGGAGAGGTGAAGCAGCTCTGCACTGAGTTCAGGTATATTTTTTCAAACATTTTTTTATTTTAAGTTGGCCTCTGATTTAATTGGAAATCTTTCACTTCCTTCCATTGTTTTCGTAAACTGGTTGCCCCAGGGGATCAGGTACAGGCCAACAATGCTGCACCATTCAGTTCTATGGGAGCTGCCATTTTTTGTGCGTGGCTCTATGCTGTCGTGATGTCTGTCTTGTATTAGAAAGTTAAAGCTTTACTGAGACAACATGCACCTCACTTTATTCCTACTATGCAGCTAAGTACTGATACTTAAATAATTGGAAATATCAGTGGATTCTGTTTTCATGAGTTTCCTCTGATTTTGGTATGATAAAGTTACTTTTGTGGTCGGTGCAGAGAGAAGTGAGCCTGTGTCTGTTCTTCTAAAACAGGGATGGCACCTACACAAGGTGATTGATGCAAATGATCATAAACCCCAGTATTTGAAAGTAACCCGAACTGCCAACACTTTTGCTGTTGTAAAAGTTACTACGTTAGTTGGCAGCCAAGCCAAGTAATTTGGAATTTGTCTGGCTGGTTAAAATTGACCCCAAATATTAAAACAATTGTGATACATCCATAACACGACTTGTCTTGAATATCCTGGAAGTAATGCTGCATCAACAGAGCTTCAGTGGAATCTTCCTCCCTGCGCTTCCTTTACCAGTAGGCACAAACATGGTTGTCTGCTCTGCTTACCTGTTCCCCTCTCCAGGACTGGAACCCAGTTGATATCAATTGTTTTCTTTTTTAGGGCATAGTTTCCAAACCAGATAATTGCTTTTCTGGAGGCAGGGGTAAATGCTTTGGTTTTGAAGACAGATTTCCACCCTATTGTAATCAAAAGCTGGAAAATTCTGCAAGGTGTTTTGTGAACAGTATACAGTCCTTCCTTTTGTGCATGTGGATTTTTGAGGATTTGGGTGTATGAGATACTTGAGTATTCCTAGTGATTCCAGAAATCTGTTCGGTTGTTCTTGTAGTGCCTTTCGCGGATGATGATCCTGTTCTTTTATCCACTTTCTGGAAAGACATGTGATGCTTCATGCAATTTAAAAATGTTTTAATTTACTGTCATGGTCAAGACCAAGTCTGAAAATGTTTGACACTGCAAAGCTTTGTAGGAAATTTGGAAGCAGGAATAAAAAAGCCTGTCACTTAAGAAGTAAAAGTGCAGAGGTAGAACAATGTAAAATAAAAACGTGCCAATGTTAAGAGAGCTTATTCCAAAACCTTGTGGTTTATTTCCTACTATTGTCTTTGGCTGTTTAAACAGATAAAAAAAAATCTTCAGTTATTTGTCTGCAACTGCTTCGCCCCCATACCCCCCTTGAGATAATAAGGAAATGAGACCAAGTCTGGAGTGTTATTGTCACTGCTTGGTTTTGTGTTGGGTAGCTTTTTCTTCCCTCTTTGGTTTCTTTGATGCTGTCTTGTGTCCGTGATACTGTTGCTGCTAAGGAGTGACATGTAAAGTAAATTTGTTGATCTTGGTCCAGTTGTTAGTAGTTACAACCGAAAATACACCAGGACCGTAGATTTATTTTCTTCCACTTCTTATGTAGGTCAAAGACTGGATTAGGTGGGGAGACATAACTTTGGTGTAGATTGCTTCTAGAGGTTGGTGGATTAAGTTGCATTTGAGATTGCTACTTAGTAAAATGATAAAGGAAAATTCATTACCTATTAATATTGCTGTCAGTTAATGAGGCATTGCATGCTTTAACTAAGCTGAAACATTATGTAGTTCAGCCTTTTTAGTGCGGGATGGTTAACGTTCACGTGATGCTGTATGCAGAAACAGCTTCTCTTAGCGTGAGGTACTTCCATTCTAACAACTGTAGCCTGAGAGAGATTTGTGGGAGATTGTAACTCATTCAGGTAACCTTGAGAAGATCATTCCTTTCCAAAGGAATGAAGATACAGCTTTTGGTATGCTGCATCCTATTCAAATGCTGCTGTTAATTACAAGGAAAGGTTTCACGGGAACTGTTGGATTCCATGAGATAATTTACTCAGTGCACAGACTGAGTAGCCTGAATGGAGTGATGGATTAAGGGGTGAACTGAACGGATTTAAAGATTTCTTACATGTTTATGGTTTTTTTCTTTAACTTCAGGGTTGGTAAAATGTAGCTCAGAATGTGCTTCCTCAGGAAAGTGCAAGTGTGTGGAATGGGGGTGAAAGTCACTGTTTTAAACCGGTTGTATTGGACACTGTCGTGTTCTATGCTCAGCATTGTCACATTTAGAAGTGTAATTGCAATACGAGTTCTGTAGTTAGACTTTTTAAAAGAATCTCAAACCCCCCACAGAATTCCATAGAATTACAATTCTGTGCAATCTGTGTACCTTTTTTGAGATAATAAAGTGCCTTTGTGTTCTTGGCTGCTCTTTGAAGACCCTCTGTGAAGCCCCTTCCTGGGGATCCCCCTTCCAGTCTACCTATACCGTGTGCTTGCCAATAGCCCAGAATAGCCGAGCTGACAGCTTCCAGCAGGACACACTGTCCCGTAGGTGTCAGCGGCCTCGGAGCTGGTGTCATGTGAGCTGTGCCGTATCTCTTTTCAAAGCTGATATTTTGTTCTTACTTCTTCCTTTGCTTCCAGCTGTAGTGCTTTAAACAAACGGTGGCCAAACCCAAACACTCCACCGAATGCATTCCTGTACACACTCATGGCAGCTAGGCTGTTCTGAGCTGTTAATTGCCTTCCTGTTGTCTAGTCCCTTGTGGTAAATAATGGTACCCTGAGTTCCCTTATGGCAGCTGGAAAGTTACGGTTCTCCTAGGAATGTCCCGGATTTGTGTATGGTCAGATGACTGGTTCTTGTATTCAGAAATAACTCCCTTTTCTCTGTTTGAGCATTAGTCCTTTCTGAAGGCAGGACGCGGTAGATAGGATGTTTGATCAGTGTTAGACTGCAGATACTTCACATGACACTGCCTGGACATGCCTTTTATCTTGAGGCTGTAAATGTGAGATTTCTGAATTCCTCTGGAGATAAGTGGCAAGAAGGGAGGCGTCGGGCGCCTGCAGTCCCTAGCAGCCTTCTCTCTGTGCTCGTTGACTTAGAAGAGAAGGAACGTGCGTTGCGTTCTCTTCAAGTAAACAGCCTTTCTTCAAATCATGAATAATAAAATAATTAAGATGGTTGTGGCTGTGTGATGTAAGGTAGAAATTTCATAGGACAGTTTACTGTTGATATTGAGACATTTTTATTTTTTAAGTATTTGCCTGGTTGCTACTAAACCTACAGATCCCTGATACTGAAGGAATCTTAAAATCAAACTTCTTCGTACTAACAGTGGTTATCCCTCTCCCACTGGAGTTTCACAGTACCGACTTTAAAAAACTGTTTTTATTGAAAGCAACCAGTGTGCTGGCCTGTAGATGCAGCAAGTACTTCAGCTCTCACAACTCTTTCCTAGTGAGCGTTTGTTAGAGTGAAAGTTGATTTGCTCAAGAAACAAGAAGAGCCTTTTCTCTGCTTTCTCCCCGATACTGTGTATGCTGTGTTACAGTAGCTGGTGTTGGGAAAGATCTGCCAGAGGTAAAGGCCTGTTTCACTGACAACTGTGAAAAGAACCAAGCACAACTTGCTACAGAAATTCTTCTCCATCCTATTTTCTCCCCCACTCCCCCAAATATTTAAAATACCTTTGTATTTTAAATGAAGAGTTAGTCATTGCCCAAGTGCCAGGCATGCACTATTAATACACTAATGAGGTCAGGTTGTGCTCTTTCATACTTGCCAGAACTCTTGAAACAAGTTTCTGCAAATGCTTATGTTGGCCACTAAATCTTCCCTTGTCACTATCAGGCTTCTCCTCACTGCTAAGGACAGCAACAATGCGTCTCTAAATGACAATACCTAGAGTGTGTGAGGATAACAAATAACTAGCTATGAATAACATCATCATTAAATAAGCCCCAAACCCCTGCATGCTCTCCTTTGTGGGGAGAGGACGTTAGTGTGTTTATTGTGCATGTTCTGTATATGCTGTGAATGCGTTCTGGGGACTGGCTTTGCTCGGGGCTGGAGCCTGACCGCAGAACTGGCATGGAGCAAGGAGCACTGTGTTCCACTCGCTCACTGTGCTTAGTAATTATTGCAGGTAAAACCGGAACAAAGCCATTCAGGGAATTTTCGCGTGTCGGTTTGTTTATTCCTAGAATAATACTTTAATCTTGTTGAATCTAATATGATTTCTAGCTGCTGCTTCCTGTGGCTTACAAACCTGCATGAAAACTTGTAACTGGGGGCAGGGGAGAAAAAGAATGTGGGTAAAGCTACACTTTTAGGTTGTCTCTGCCAGAGAAAGCTACACCTGTCTGGTGGGATGTTCTGTCACTTTTGTTTTACAAACAGAAACGAGCTTACCTTTCTCGAATTGTCTCCTCAGTGCCTGGTACCAGTGGGGATCGCCTAGGTTCAGTAGTTCTAGGGGAAGTAACACTAGCTGCTGTTACAGCTGACAAAAGCAGTCTCTCTTGTAGATGACATACCACTGACCAAATAAAGCCATTTTCTGCTATTTTGCTTGTTATGAAATGGTACTAGTAGTATTTGTGGTACTGGTTTTGTCATTTTTGTTTTGTCATCTCGGGAGAGCAAGGGTAGCTTTGACCTGTTGCTGTGTCCTTTCAGCTCGCAGGCGGCAGCGGCTGCGTTCTGGTCTGTCGGTGACCAGCTGAGCGCGGGGGCTGGTGGTAGATCAGGGTTTTCTTTCTTTGAGAACTGAATGTGTGAGTCAGTCTGAGGGAAGAAAGGGGAGGAATCGGTGCTTGCTGTCTTGATTTACAACCACATGTAGGCACACCCCTAGAAAGAGTTCCTTGCTGTCAGTGCCAGATGGACAGTGATGAGACTTCTCTCTCCTCTTTCTTTTAACTCCAGCAGAACTGTGAGGCTTGTTGAGGTTGGTATGATACCATGGAAGGGCAGCATAACCATCCACATCATCTAGGGGACCAGAACAACCCTCTTTGCAAGCTGCCGGGGCAGGAGTACCAGCATGATCCTCAGGTAAGCGCACATGTCTCTAATCTGTCTCCCTCTGTTTTCTTCCCTTCATTTTATAAAGATCTATAGACTTCTGAGCATTTAGCCCTTTGGTTTTTTCATCTCGTTTATAGCGCAGTTATAGGAGTTTTAGGGTATATCTAGTTTGGGACCCTGCCAGTCAGCCAGAGTTTCCTGAATCCATTTTTTTTGATGATGATAATAAGGGAAAAAGGAAATCGTTTGGATTTTGCTTGAAGCAAGTATTTTAAAATAATCTTATAAAAACATGTACTGTGTTGGCTTTCTTGTCTCTTTGATTCTTTGAAGAAACGGCCAAAGAAAAGCAGTTGTTTAAGTGAATAAATGTATTTTATCTCCTTTTATGGTTTAATAATAAATGCTGAAGAGGTAATTACCAAATACAAGTGGTAATACGACATGAAACTGTAGGCGCTCTGACTTCATTTCCTGCGAGCCTCTGGAAGCTCACCCCCAGTGGATTTGTCTGTACTATTACCAAGTTTCACTGTAGGGACTCGTCTCTCCCG